ATGAATTATTTGAAATAATTAATCATGGCCATGAACAAAAATTACCCAATTTTTGGGGATATTTCATGGCCATGAATTTATTCAATTATTTAAAATAATTTTAAATCGCTGCATGCAGCCATGAACAAAAATGAAACAATATTTCATGGCCATGGTTTTCATATAAAAAATGAGTTCAGTAAAACTTAAAATAATTGAAATAATTCATGGCCATTACTTTTTGTCATTAATCATGCATCAGTTAACGTTACCAGTACAATTTCTTTTCCATGCTGTATTTATCCGGCATTAAGCCAATGTCTGGTAATAAGTCCATCCATGTCTATTGCAGCTCAATAAAAATGCTTACTAATGGTATTTCATTTTCCTGCAATAAGCCCATTCCCCTAATTCGAGTCAAGAGTTTATGTGCTGCCCCCCCCCCCCCGGCTTATTGCAGGATAAGTACTGTATATTAATAGCTATAATGGTTTTAAACACTAAAAAAAAATGACCATGACATTTTAACCAACTTTGATCATCGCTCAGTATTTTGCACTTTAAATTAAAGAAACCACAATATCCAAATATAACTAATTAACAAAACTTTTAATTAAAAATGGAGAAATAACGTAAATACATGCATGTAGATCTGGGTGTTTCTGCTACTGTTTCATGTGCATGCAAGCTGACTGCCTGTATCAACATCATGGTTACACAGCTGTACACTGGTCTCTCTAGCTTCGAGTATGGAGAAACAAAATCTTTAACCATTCATAGACTATGAATGTTAAAAAAATATTATTCAATCCCTTATATATACATATGTGTTATCTCATGTAATGTTCATGAACTATGTGTAGGCTGTAATCTACAGTCTATCCTACTTATTTTGGTTTCCATTTTTTCAAGATTCTGAACGAAATATTTTGACTGATTTTCAAAATTCTCATACCATTTAATTTGTTACACTCGCCAAGTCGTTATTAATAGGACAACATAAACACATAAACCTGTCTGATGAAATTCACATTTAAAAAAAATCTTCTACAATTACTAGCTAGAAACAATTGGCGCACAACTTTCCAGAAAATGACATTTGGACCAGTTTTTGCTAGTATTCGGGAAGAGAAAAATATTTTCATTATTGATTTCAATACAAATGTTTTAAGTAATTCTACTACGACTAAGAAGGTGTAATAAAATGATGTAAACATTTTAAAAATCTGTGGATTTTAATATTGCGTTCATAATCTCAAAAAAGCGGAAACCAAATTTAGTGGGATAGATTTTAGTCTACGTACTGTACATACCGATACTACTTAATACATGTATAGCTAGGTGCTATGTGTACATACTGCTAATACTAGTGGTACAAGAGACTAGCTACTAATTGATACATTTGTTACGGTAACAGTGATTTTGATCCGTATCTAGGCCATTTGCCATCCTCTTAATAAAAATGTACTTAAGGTTTTAGAAAAACATCTGCTCATATTTAACCAAATTAATGTCACAAAGAATTTGTATAAAAAGCGTGTCCTAAATTCCGAAAACACTGATCATGATCATGAATGTCCAGCACAATCACAGAGATTCAAGTAATAAATTTCAAACTATGCATAGTATTTATATTTCTCATATTTTGCAGTTTAATGGCACTTTTCCACTATTGCAAAACCATAACAATTCATTTTCTACAGCTGTAACTAAAGGCGGTGAAAGGTTTCCGACACTGTTATATGAATATGACATATTTTCTCCATCTAATTTTGTCTTCCACAAGGAAGTGTCCTTATCAGACACAGAATCAAACCATTTCACATATGCAATGTTGTTTATCTTTTGACTGTTTTTGTTTTCATGTTTTACGAAAAACTAAATTTGTCCAAACACCACAAACTTTCCAGATGTCAGTTTCTGTTGTGGAGTTCCTCGTTCACATTCAGAACATACATAAGAAGAAACAGTTTTAGCCGTTTTTAATTCTTTCGTTGAACATGTGTATGTAATAATCCGTTTCGTCTTAGGATGTTCTTCCCGGTGAGTGTAGTATTTCTTCAACAAACAGTTTTCAAGCGATCGGTCACATGTGATGTTGTTGTCATCACATATCTTATGAATAGACACAGAGTCTCTCTTTTTGGGAACAAACAGTTTGCTTACACATTTTCCTTTAGAACTTCCAGAATCTTTGCAGCTAGGACTCGATTCAGTATCAACAGAATCAAAGTACGGTACATGTTCTACACAATCATTGGAAGGGATACGGTTACTGGCTACCATAAACTGACACCAGTCATATATAAGGAACGTTTCTATCGCCGTAGCTTCAGGATAGCGCATATTTAATCTACGTTTACACAACCACGAGTTGAAACGTTCGAAAACAAACATCCATGTACTATATACAGGCCCGTACAATTTAAGTCCGTCTGGTATGTGATGTAACAAATGAGTAGTAATATTCTGTAAAGAGAGTGGGAAGTCTCGTTCTAACGCTGCCAATGACCTATTCAGTTTAACTTCAATGTCATCAAGTTCATCCAAGTCTTGGTTTTCTCTACATAAATCACTAACACTATCAAACAAATCATACAAAGTGTGTCTGCATTTGTCTGATAACAAGCCTTTCAAACAGAACTTAAATATTCCTTGACAGGCGATTTGTTTCCAATCGTGAGATTTGAGGGAGCCAGGCTTACTAAAAAAGGGAGACGGCTTTAATCCAAATCCTAACGGTGGGCGAATACTTTTAGCTCTTGTATCAGCACATTGGATCTCTTCTTTAGTTAGCATGAACGGATATGCTTTCTCGTTACATGATTGAGACTTGCGCTTCTTTGGCCTAGGAGGTGTTTCCAATTCTTCAACATTGTTAGCATCTCTAGATGATGGATCAATAACGTGAAGTCTTCTTTCATGTTTTTCTGTTTCTAAAATCTTTGTCAAATTTATATTTCTACAGGTTAACAAGTTCATGATATTCTGAACAATGTCTTTTATAGTATGACAAGCGTCCGGCTTGCTTTCAACGATTCTGTTGTGATCAGGAAGGCGTGACAATGGATATGTACTTTTACACCCTGTAGCTGTAGCAATAACACTGGCCTACGTTTTGTTTTTTGCATGTTCGAATGCATTACGATACACCTCTTCTTCAACTATAGAACGCACCTTTGGACGCTGAGTGTGATCACTTTCTTTAGACACAAAATGTGAATTGTCGCTTCTGATGGGGTCATCCCTCTGTAAAAATGACCTGTTTGAAAGGTATATCACTTTGTCCAGATGTTTACACCGTTTTCCTCTTATCAAGCACCAATGACATCCAGGAACACTGCCACTGCCATGTTGTTTAAATAATTTACTTAGTCCTGGGTAATCTAAAACATGTAGCAACAGCTTTATCTTCACATCAACATGACCGTTGTGATATGCACTATATGCTGTACATTCAGTCAAGTACAGCAATTCATCGACAAGTACTTCCACATAACCATCTTGTGAAGTGGCTTCAGACCTTCCGTTACCTGGAATGATCCCGACAAGGTTGATATTACCAAATGAATTCCTCATGTGTCGTGGAAGATTCAGCACTGTTAGCATTATTGGCGTCATCGAGTAAATGACCCCAATGTTGTGAAAAGGATTAACCCCATCCATTTCCAAAGCCATCGATATTCCCATTTTGTCGCCCTGGAAATATCCTGCTGGTGAATACAGTGTCCTCCAAGCTGGTGAATGGTGTATATCCCCCATTTCAGTGTCATCATAACTATCTCCAGGATGTGATTGCACAATTTTAGCCAAGTTAGTTTCCCCGTAATATCTAGCAAGTCTTGGACCGATTGGTACATATATAAATGTTTTGTTAGCGACGCGCTCATCAGCATATCGATCATGCTGACAGGTTGGACATTGGCTCAAATTAGCATAATGGAATTTGCTGGTATCTCGAAACACAACACAGTCATTGATGCACACATGGTATTTTTTCTTTTTCACAAGGTATGACTCTATCAACTTTCTGGCCTCATAGTAAGATGATGTTAAAATGTCCTGAGAATCACACTGCAATCTTTTTTGTAGCTGCAAACTTTCTGTAAAAGATTGCTTACTTGATGACGGATGCGCTGTAAACAGGTGAAAGTTCATTGCCAATCATTGCAATAAGGTAAGATCGGAATTGGGTAACTTTTGTACTGCTACACCGCTGCTGTATACAGTTTTATTGTATTCACAAGACCAGGGCAAACTACTGCAGCTGTCTTCAGGATCACTTTCATTACTTGATTCATCAGAACTAGTTTCATCCTCTATACTGTCCGTGTCTTCATGAAAACAGACATCTGAAGTAGCACTGTCGTCGTCCTCTTGGAAATGAAGGTTGTTGACAATATCAGAACTGCAAAAGATCAAAATATAAAATTTATAATAAACCTCAAACTATGCCATTTTTATTTATTTTTTTATTTGCTCAAATGACGTCTATTTTACGAGAGCTGTTCCATCAATGTAATTTCCCGATAATATTCACACAAAACGTAATATAATAATAATAATCTGATATATTTACGTATTTTAAATGTAAAATAAAATTGACAGTAACTTACAAACTGTTGAACAGGCTGGGCATTCCCCCGGAAAGTCAAGACAATCTTGACTTTGTGAGAGGTCTTTGTATTTTCCGGTTGAATGCACTTGATTTCTACTTCCAGTTTCCTATCTGAATTTTGAATCTTCCAATTTTCATTCGATTAAAATGTCATGAAATACGACAATAAACAGAAATTGTTCAACCAAAAGTTGTTTGTGATAACCAATAGATATAACGGTTTTCAATAACAAAAGTGAAATCGAAAATTCAGATTTTTCATATGAATAGGAAACTGAAAGTAGAAATCATCAAGTGCATTCAACCGGAAAATGCATGGTTCGACTTTCCGGGGGAATGTTTTGTATTGAGATTTTTCACAACATACAAAATGGAAGTAAATAAATACAAGTACGAGTAATTTAATGATATTGAACAGACATGGNGGGGGGGGGGGGGGGGTGCAGTCGAATTACAAGCGTTCGCGGATTACATGATGATGCCAAGTAATAAAAATAATTTGTAAACATGTGATAAAATGAGCATATACCTCTCTTCTTCTTGGACTGTTTCCAATATATGAGATTCAGATCCTTCAGCGTCCGACGCCGATGTAAAATAGCAAGCTGCCGCGGCCTGTGCATCGTCTTCGGAGTCGGAATTTCCGTTGGACGGTACTTTCCATGGAGAGGAAGTTGGTGAGTCTTCGCTACCATATTTTTGTAAATGTTTACGAATAATACGAGCGTCGATTAATGTATTTCTTGATCGGCAAATGACACAATGACATCGCTTCAGTGGCATAGGCTTCACCTGCTAACTCGCTAAACAGCATGGTTAGTCATCACCTCGCATGTACAAAAGCGACCCGTGACAAACGCACATATGACCAAGATTTGAGATTGGTAGTAGACGTGTTCTGATTGGTCAATTGCAAGATACAGTTGCGTCCCACGATTTAATTGGTTTAATTATTATTTTGACCCGCCATAAATTCACAGCGAAAATGGACGACCTCAGTGAAGAAGGGAAGAAGATTATAGAAGGTTTGTAAAATTATTTAATGGATCAAATACGCGTCCTACTAAAGCCTGGACGGGCCCGGATGGGCCCGGACCGAGTAAAGACGTTGTTTGTAGACCCATGCATGCATGTGATTAACTTTACGGGCGTCCATCAAAGCAAACAGTCTATCCCACGTGTTTCGGTTTCGCCTTTTTTTAGTCAAGCTCAAAGTCAAAAGTTTTAATTAAAGTCGGATCCCTGGGAATCCCTCAGTTGAGAGACATTTTTGCCTATAATTTCATAAGTTTTATATTGCAATTTTTATTGCGACTGGCATTTATAGTATTATTCTAATCAATATTTACAAAAGAAGTGTTTCTCTAATTTTTAAACATTGGACATTACAACCACTTTTTTAATATTGCTCATATACAGTATACAGTAAATGTCATCTCATGCCAGTTGCAAAAAAAATTGCAATATAAAAAACTTAATGAAATTATAGAGGCAAAATTGTCTCTCAACTGAGGGATATTTATCATATTACCCCCCAAACTGAGGGGTAATCTCCCAATCAGGGGTCTCCCAATCAGGGGTTTAGTCCCAACCTGTTTATAGCATTCACCGAGTCGTAACAGGAAAGCATAAACATGTGACGTCAGATAAAATTTACATTTGAACAAAATTTCCTGTCTAAGACTACTGCAGTAAAAATGGGTCACACTCAAAAGCGGCCATAAGCGTCCACTCCAGTCCACATACGATATCATAACAAATACTAAATAAAGTAAGCGACATCTCAAGATATGCTGTTTGTATGCATATAAATAATACATCTATATTAAAAAAAAAAAATCGATATGTTGAAAATTGACCGAGTTATGAGCGATTTACTTTTTGTAGTGCATGCCGTGACAGACATGTGTATTGACATTACCAGTAATGAAGAGTCCTCATAACTCGGTGAATAAACAATATATCCAACTAAAACTTTTAATATGTACAGTCGAACCTCGTTATCTCGAAGTCGACAGGGTCGTGGGAAAACTTCGAGTTATCCGAGTATTCGAGTTATGCGGGTTCATAGATTTGGTATGAAATTTGCTGTTTGGACATAGCACTAGCAGTTGTTGGTTTTATTAATAGTTAATGATTTTAATCAATCGATAAATGATATACGTAATCAATATAACAAATACAGCTATGTAATTTTACAATAAACACGCTCTCAAAAATAGAGTAAGTTATTTCAGAAAACGTACTTTCGTTTTTAAACGCGATCAAAACGGTTGGACCCTTTTGTGAATTCGTTATTAAATATGTACGGGCCTAGTGATAACATGTTGTTTTTGGCTAGTATAGATCTTGGCAAATCTTTCCAGGTCTGCATTTGTATTTGTAAGTTCGTCAAGTTTTACTTCTGAAGTGTTACATTTCAAACCGAACTATCCCGCTGTCTCTGATCTCGTAGTTTACAATGCGGAAATGAAAGTGCGCAAGTCTAAAACAAATCACTGTAATGGAGCGTACACATAGTTGAATCTGTAAATGAAAACACACAAAAAAATTATATCGTACATGTGACACATTGATTCATTAAAGCCAAATATGACACCTGACACCTCCTCAACTCGATGTAATCAACAGCAATTATCGTTTTGTTCTTAAATCTCTCGATCGACTTTCAAAGCCATACTGGCTCCTGTAAAAACATGAACCCGTAAAGCTGTCCTAGGTTGTGATTTTAACTGTGGAACTCTTTTATGCATGACCACGCTTTGTGACCAATTTTCCGGTTTGCACTGTCGTCTGTTTAGGTGTACAAATCATTAAACGGACTCGCAGTAAGTACAGATTACTGTTGATCAACATTGATGCAGTTTGTTTTTTATTATGAATAACATGGTTTTGACAGTCCGTAAACTTTACAGTCCTAAGCTTTATTGTAAATTCTTTTTTACTGATTTCATGCTAGTCTACTTACGAAAGATGTTCATAAACACGGAATGGCGAAATGTCGTACTTTTGCGTTTTATTTGTATTAAAGAATTAACAAGTGACAAAATGAAATTTGGATACTATGTTGGATTAACGCTATTGAAACCAATATTTTACTTCGAGGTATCCAAGTTTTTCGACTTTTCAGGGTTCGAATTATCAGAGTTTTATTTACTAAGATAAAGAACAGATTTGGCCGGGACCGGAGAAATACTTCGAGATAAACGGGGTCTTCGAGTTAAAAGAGTTCGAGATAACGAGGTTCGACTGTATGTATTATAATCATATAAAAAACATATCTGGTGATGTCGCTGACTTTATCTAGTTTTTCAAAAGATATCAGCTGTGGACTCTACATTACTGGTAACGTCAATGGACATGTCTGTCACGGCATATATTACAAAAAGTAAATCGCACATAACTCGGTCAATTTTCAACATATCGAAATAAAATTTTAAATATATATGTATTATATACATATAAACAATATATCTTGAGATGTCTCTTACTTTATTCAGTATTTTTTATGATATCGTCTGTGGACTGGAGTCGACGCTTATGGCAGCTTTTAAGCGTCCAACAATAATTATTGTTGCAGAAAAATGATGTTTGGGTGCGTTTTTATTAGTAGTCTCGAAGAGAAAAATATTTTTATTTCGCACTTCATTACAAATGTTTTTTTTATAAATTCTCTTACGACTTGGCCAGTGTAACAATGTGGTGTAATAATGTTAAAAATTGGTTAAATATGTTTTTTTTACAATCTCAAAATGACGCAAACCAAAACAAGTGGGATAGACTGTAGAGGCATGTATTTGTTTGGCTTTATCAAAATAGAAAATAGTCTTGAATCAGTGGACAGTTATAAAGAGATATACTTTTTTATAAAAGTACAAAGGGATATTATTTTTCAATAAAAAAAATGTAATTTTCTTTCATTTTCGGATGACAGGTTGACAAAAGAGATGGTAAAGAAATTTACACAAGAAGATATCATGGAATTCACCTCTTTTCGTGATAGATACATAATACGGCAACTGACAAAAAATGCATGCAACAATGATTCATCTGATGAGAATGACCTACAACCTGATGACAGTCCACAGGCATCAACAGTTTCAACACCTCTGAAACCTACTGAAACCTCCACAGCTGAAACGGAAAGTAATTCTCTACATTTAAACTTTACTGCAGAAGAGCTCTTGAGCAAGAAAAGAAAGAATCACAAGGCTTCAGGTGCTCAACGATTCTTTACGAGTCTACTGAAAGATAGTGCTGTGAATGCAAGAATCTGGAAAAAGGCCCATAGACTCTCAAACACTCTGGACCGAAAAAAGGATACATTCCTTTCATATATTATTAGAGGGGCTCCTCAACTTCAGAGTAAAGAAACAGAAGTTTGGAAGCGACTGGGAGAATCTCTCCAAAACAGACGCAAGTACATCAAAGATAAAGAAGACGGCAAACGAGTTAAGCAGAAGAAGTCTGCAAATGATTCGACTAGACAGCTGGACGTAACAGATTTTCTCATCATTCAAGGTGGGCAAGAAATTGATCTGATGGACAGAGCAAAAAAAAGAAAGATAGCAAGGGGAATTTATCTTGGGAGAAAAGATACTGTTTACTCAGAAATAGTTATCAAGGAACTGAAAGACATTCAAAACATTCAAGATGATGACTTGGAACTTCCAGTTGCAGCAGGCATTGATTCTAAAATAACAACATTATGTGAAGAGGTTGTCAAATGCGTAGTTGTGTGGAAGACTTCAAGGCTCCAACTTGTGGGAAGACCCTTACAGGAGAAGAAAAAACCTGCTAGTACTAGTACTGGAAACACCAAGTCGACTGCGAGTGCCCATTCTTCCAAAGCTGCTGGTAGTAGTACTAGTCCTGGAAACACCAAGACGACTGCGAGTGCCCATTGTTCCAAATCTGCTGGTAGTTGTGGTACTGGAAACACCAAATCACCTGCGAGTGCCCATTCTTCCCAATCTGCTGGTAGTTGTGGTACTGGAAACACCAAATAGACTGCGAGTGCCCATTCTTCCCAATCTGCTGGTAGTTGTGGTACTGGAAACACCAAATAGACTGCGAGTGCCCATTCTTCCAAAACTGCTGGTAGAAGTACTAGTGCTGGAAACACCAAGTCATCTGCGATTGCCCATTCTTCCAAATAAACTGGTAGTAGTACTAGTTCTAGTACTGGAAACACCAACTCATCTGCGAGTGACAATTCTTCCAAATCTGCTGGTAGTTTTGGTACTGGAAACACCAAATAGACTGCGAGTGCCCATTGTTCCAAATCTGCTGGTAGGAGTACTAGTACTGGAAACAACAAGTCGACTGCGAGTGCACATTCTTCCAAATCTGCTGGTAGTTTTAGTACTGGAAACACCAAATCGACTGCGAGTGCCCATTCTTCCAAATCTGCTGGTAGTTGTAGTACTGGAAACACCAAGTCGACTGCGAGTGCCCATTCTTCCAAATCTGCTGGTAGTAATGTTAGTGATACGTCTGACAAGTCAATCGCAAGCGCCCAGACCCATTTTTCCGACACTAACAGCATCTTCGGCGACGAACATGGCGATTTAGCAGGGATCAAGCTGCAGGGGATAAAACGCCGCCGCAAGGCTAGTTGTGGTCTTGACCTTAAAGATGGAAAGAAAGACATCTGCGTGTTTGAGTGGGCAAAGGGGGACTTATATTTGGGTATGGTCTTTAAGGATTCACATTCAAAAACACAGAAAGTGGTAAATTGCTTAAAACCGATAGGTAAAATTGAAAATGATCACTTACTTTTATCGAACAAAATATTTGGCTCCAAGGTGAAATTCAACAATAATGATGTCCAGGATAATCCTGATTTTAGTTATTGCATGCTTGCCACAGATTTTGCCATCGATGCTGTTGC